CATACGCGAGGCATAACTCTCTCGAACCGCCCGAGTTGCTTTTTCCTTTTGTGCAGATTATTTACCAGCTACTCGGTACGTGGCGTAGGGAATCAGAAACCCCTGATACCGGCAGCTAGACTACGCCACCGATGGCCAGACACAACTACAGAAGATGTAAGATTTTCACGTCCCCTGCTGGGCAATACATGCAGAGACAAATTAGAAACTGGTACTACTAACGCATGCGTGGCGCTAGAGAACTACATCTTTTCAAAAGACGGCGTCGGTTTCGGCTGCCCCCTTTTCTGTTCCCAAATCTCGGCTCATTCCAATCTAACAGGAGTAGAAGTGGTCATGAAACATTTCGTCTTCACTGCGAAAGTACGAAATCTGCAAACATGGGCTCATTTTTCCCGAGCCAGTTTGCGCACATGCCGGCTTGAACTCGCGCCAGGGTCTTGATTATCGAACGATTACTGCTTTCAAAACTTGTCAGAAATGACCAAACTCGCAAGCCTCAGACGCATGTATGTCTGCGGAGTATGAAAATAAAAAATTCAAACCCAATCAATGGCGACAACAGCCTTGATGCCGCCCGATGTGTTGGCTACATATGTACGCGAGGCCGGCTTACGCCGCTGGAGGCCCCCCAGTCGTGCCGGCAAATTTGGGCGTCTGGGGTCTTTGGCCAGCCGTCGATCCATCCAAGATATGGAAAAAGGGAGGGGCCGCAGCCTTGTGTGCCCAGAGACTTTGTATGCCTACAAGAAGGTCAAAAAGTATGCATTTGGAAACGTAATCCCGAGGGGGCTTGATACCCCTGAAATTTGGAGCGGTCGGGCTCCATCGAGGTACGTCTGCAAATGCAACCGGGACGCCACTTCAGGTCATATGCATGAGAAAAGGGGTTCCCGTGAAGGATGTCAAAATATGTAGTGGGGGGCAAAAATTATTTACTCAAGTTGAGCAGCTCGCTATTAGCGTCTATACTATTAATATATTGAAGTACACTAATATATACTAAATACATCAAAGTATATCAAAAGACTTGGACTTCTAAATCTTTACACTCAGTCGTTTTTTTAGTGGGTGATGTAGATCTTTCGAGCAGGACGACTTCCCAGGTCCACATCTTTTGCCGCCCATAATGGTAATCTTTGTTATTTTCGCTCCAGTCTTGAAATCCATTGATCGTATCTTGGAAGTAACCCTGCCGCCCTTATAATTGAACTCGATGTACGAATGCGGCGGTTTTTGCAAAGTCTCCCCGTCGTCCAAATACAACACTCCTTTGGCCCTGCCGTTGCTGCCGACAGCAATCAACAGTTCGAAATCTTGCTGGCGAAGCTCGGTTGTGGTCATGGTAGACCTGGCACGCATAGGCATGATTTGACCACCTCGGACAAAGAGCGGGATATCGGTGATGGTCTGATTTGTTCTAGTGGCGTACTGCCCTATGCCGAAAAATTGCTCGTGCGTGTGGAAGTCGTAGAAGACGTCGTTGGGGAAGTAGATTTTTACACTTGTAGATCCTTGCTCCTGGACTGGCGCAACCATCAACGAAGGGCCGAAGAAGTACTGCATGTCCAAGCCCCAAGTATTTGCATCTTTGGGGTAAATGTAAAACATGGGATTGATAGCCGGCGTCCCATCAGAACTTTGTATCATCAAGGCCGTGTAGAAGTAGTCGAGCAGCCTGTAACGAATGTCAATCGCCTTCTTCGCAGCCTGAGTGACCGAAGGCCACCGGTAGAACTCCTGGTCAATTTGTCCCTCGGCATTGTGGTTACGGTAAAACGGCTGGAAGGCGCCGAGCATGGCCCATCGCGCACAGAGCTCCTCAGTGGTATCCCCGTTAAAGCCGCAGACGTCGGATCCAACCATGGACACCTGGAACATGGAATTGAATTGCAGCATTTGCCGAATGCTCAAGCGGTAATGCTCCCAGCTAGAGTCGTTGTCACCCAGCCAGTGCGCGGCGTGGGCTCCCGAGCCAGCAAAGGTAGAGCGTGTGACGATGAAGGGACGCTTGTGAGAACGCATAGCGATGAGGGCTCTGCGTGAGGCAGCAGCCATCATATGTCCGTAGAGATTGTGCGTGTCAAAGAGAGTGAGGCCATTGCTGTGACGGATGCTCGTGTTGAGACTCTTTTGCGGCAGCACACCCCAGGCGTTGTTGATGGTGTAGGGGGGGTTGATGAGATCACGATTGTCGAAGCCTAGAAAGAAGGGTCTGTAACCTGGTTTGACTTCCTCCATCAAGGGGAAGTAGAGGGGAGGTATAGATAGCATAGGTTCTGGGAAATAGAGGTAGACAGTACGGGGTTTCTTTCGGGAGGGGAGGGGCTTTATTCCATTGTCGTCGCATTTTGTGCCCGGTGGCTGGAAGTCACAAGGCCATCCAGGTAATTCTCTCGGCGGTGACCGAACGAGCGGTGGTGGAGGCGGGTACTGCAGAGCTACCTCGTCAATATTGTTGCACGGGAAGTCGCAAAAGTTGGAAGGCTCGTTCATGTCTATCCACAGGTAGTCGATGTCAACGCCTGTTGCAGGGTTAAAGAAGGTGTCGAACTCCTTATTCCAGTATTCCTGGATGGCAGGGGCGAACCAGTCTGGGTAGACGGTGCGGCCGGGCCATACGACACCTTCATAGGGTAACCCCGATGAGTTGACAAGGAAGGACATTGGCCACGTCTTGCCGTTGTTGTAAGGGCCGTAGTCCTTGACGGCAATGGCAGGATCCAGCATCATGACGAATTTTTGATTCCTGGAGCGGAGATGCTGTACTAACTGACGCATCTTTTCCAGGGGAAACCGCTCAGGGTCTAGGGAGAAGGCCTGTCGCAAAGTTAGTAACGTGTGAATGAGAAGATGAGGATATGGCAAGGGTCACGAACAGCTCGGCCATCCATGTAGTCAATATCCGTCCACATGGTTTCGAGAGGAATACCAGCTTGGCTGTAGTTGTGCACGACTTCAGCAACGTTGAAAACATCTTGGTAGCCCCATCGACACTGGTGAAGTCCCAGCGCACCGTAAGGCACCAAGGCTGGCTGCTGGACGACCTCGGAATACTGCTTGGCCACGTCAATGGGAGTTTCTCCAGCAAAGAAGTAAAAGTCGAGCACTCCGCCAAGGATATTGTACTCCAAGTAGGCGCTATAGGGATCGCTGTCGATTACGACATCCATGCCGTTCGAGTTGAGCAAGAAGACGCCGTGGGTTCCCTTTTGACGATGCTCTATGTACATGGGGTGACTTCCGTAGAGATTCCAACCAGCAGGGACAGAAGGGGTATCGGCATTCCACAGCGTACGCGTATAGTTGTTGGTCTTTAGCCGGAAGGAATCAGAGTGCTCCCCAAAGCCGTACAGGTTAGGATTCACGGGTAGCGAGGTACGCAAACGAATATACTGGTCCTCAAAGACCAGTCCTGCGGCAGACGAGTCGAAGAGTATCGTAGTGTCCTTGGTGCGAACAATTCTGAATGAGAACGGGTATTCGGTGTATTCGAACTCCAAAAGTGGCTTTTTGCTCTGTCTCTTTCTGCTAAACTTGGGACGGGGAAAGACAAGTTCGGGAACTTGGTAGGCTTCCTGTTTTGGATCGGCAATTTGGACGTGAAGGCGCGTGGCTGCATGGGCAGTGGTTAACCCTCGTTTTCTGCTTGTTACCATGAAGCAAATAAGTACTCACGAGTCTCAACCACATGCGTGACCTTTAGGAACGGGAGATCCTTGCCGTAGACGTTGCAAGGTTTGCCAGCGAGTTCCAAGTCGATGAATCTGGCCCTGTCATCATGGATTTCCAGAAACCGCCACAAACCGTCCGAAATTTGGCCGTCCTTGACCGCTCTGTAGCCGGGGCATTCTCTCAGACGATCGCGGGTATTCGGTTTTGGAGTAGCAGCTATCCCGCCAAGGGCAAAGAAGAACTGAATAACTGCGCCAGCTCTCATTTTCCTTGTCTTGCGTTAGTAGGAAATGAAAGTGAAAAGGAAGAGGAGGACGAGTGAAACCCAGTCAAACCCAGTCATACACCAAAGGGGCCAGGTACATTTATACCTACCAAAAATAAAATACCAAGCTATACTAGAGTCTGGTATATTAGGTTATACTAGAGTATGCTAGGTATCACTAAAATATACTAGCATACACTATAGTATGCTTAGCATATGCTTTATGATGGGCAAAAAATATTCTGTTGTAGACTGCATCGATCAATCGGCAGGCCGCTTTTGAATCACGCTGATAGCGTGGACGAAGAAGTCTGGCCGAAAAATTTGGGGGGGGGGGGATTCAATAGTTAACAATCAATCATGAACAATATTCACCTCCAAGTGTTTTAATATTGATCAAAGATGCGGGGGTGCGGAGTCGCACAAGCGCAAAGATGTCATGATGTAAAGGGAAGGTGCGTCCTGTGACTCTTGTCGTTGCCAAGTTCCCCGCAGTTTTGAACGTCCAAATCCCCTGTCTGATGGCGCAGGCTAAATCGGACGGCCCACTCGCCAAGCACCAGCATCGGGTCGACGGGTCCGATCTCCCAAGGTTCGGGGGGAAAAGGCACCAGGGCTGGTCGGAGGGTGGCTTGGGAATTGACTTCGTTTCCGTACTCATGGAACACTCCTTCCTTCCCATGTATTTCACCACACGCAGCTAAGCATTTTTGGGGTGGCTTTGGGCCGCACCTTCCACTTGCCGAACGAACTCTATGCAGACGAGTGCTAGATTAGACTCAGTAGGCCCGAACCAAGGCTTGAAGTCCCATTTATGAGGCATCGCGTGCAGCCAGGTCGGAGCCAACCACACACTCGCTTATCCCGGTTCACGCATCATGATTGCATGTGCCCATGTGATGAAAAAGAACTACCATTCAAGTATGGAGTTATCGTGGTCTAGTCGGAACTTCTTCGCACCACCCGAAGTTTGTACACATTCCACCTTCACCTTGCATGGCCAAAGCTGATTGAATCCTACTTTCCACGCCTTGTTCGTCCACAAAGCCACCCATGCATCTTACCATGAAACACCACGACCAACACCACCAGGAGCCACGCTGGGCACGACACTGGGCGCAGCACTTGGTACAGCGCTCGGTACAGCACTGGGTACAGCATCGGGAACAGCACTGGGTACAGCATCGGGAACAGCACTGGGAACAGCACTCGGCACAGCGCTCGGTGCAGCACTCGGTGCAGCGCTCGGTGAAGCGCTCGGTGCAGCGCTCGGTGCAGCGCTCGGTACAGCACTTGGAACAGCACTCGGCACGACACTCGGCGCGGCACTGGGGGCACTGCTCGGCTGATTGTTGGGCATGTTGCTAGCACACACAGAAAGCTTCGGCATGCAGCCGTTGCTATTCACCTCGGCATGGAAAGCTTCAGCAGCGCCCGACGCCGCAACGAGATTCCCGGAAGTCATGGCCTCAATAAACCCATTGAGAACGTTGTTGATGCTGGAGATGCACTCCTGCGGGATAGCATTACACTACACAGGGGATGTCAGTCAGCTGGGGTTCGGGCATAGTCCAGTTGCAGCTGAGGGCGCTCACCTGGGCCGTCTCCTGTCTCCTGAGGGTCTTCTTGATATCATCTCCCTGGTGCCTGACGTGCTCTTCACGCGTGCGCTGCACACCCTGAGGGACGGCTAGGGCGGCGGAGGCAAGAACAGTGGCCATGTAGAAGAACTTCATGTTGGCGATTTGTATCAAAGAGCTCGATGGAATTTTATACTGGCGATGAATTCAACCACTGCTCCAAGATGGACGAGGAGGGGGCCTCCTTTATACCAGCAAGCACGACTCTTATTTCCGCTTCTACCGCCCAGCTGGTATGCGACGTCTTTCGAAAATTAAGACGGGTTTTGGGGAAATATCTCTCGAGGCCGATATCGAGACAGTCCTCCTGTACAAGAGCCAGCATGAATCCCGTTCAGGTTTCCAAGTGACCCGCTTTTGACGTTCGTTGCTTCAACACTCGGCCAGACCAATTCCATTGCCGTCGTTGCACCTCATCTAGTCCAACTGCGGTATGCTCCAGGGCGACAAGAACGTGTTGAATCGACAAACACATCACCAAGTTGGGTAAATAGCTTCGTCATTTTTCCTTGAAGAGTGCCAGCTACTCCGCGGAGGCCATCGCATGCCACAGTCCGAGGCAGCCATGTCCGTGGAATGTGGGAGCATCACGATCCCTACCAATCTATCTAGGCATTTGATCGCTGAGACATGTTTCTCCCAAGGCAATGATATCATTCTCGTCTTTGTGCAAGCTCTCTAAACGAGTGTCAGAGATGCGTTACAAGATGTCTCTCTTTCTAGTTGGAAGAATTCCTTCCTCGCCCTGCTTGTCGACTTGTAAGTTGTAACACTATACTGCTCCACAACGTACATGCGCATTTCGGCGGCAATAATACTCTCCGGCCTTCTCCGTGTCAGCGATGGGCAGTTATTCCTATGTTCAACCCGATCGTACATTATCAGTTAACTTTCCATTTTTGTTGCCGTGTGTGTCATCCCGTTGCACAAAGCAGGAGAGCTTTCGTCGGTACCAGCCATGAGAACGCTCCTGGATGTAAGTAAGCCCTCCATTTTTCGAGCTTTTCAGCCATTGAAATGCAAAATGAACACAAAAGGCGAAGGATCATCACAAGGAACCCATACAAAGTCACTTCAGCCGGTATGTTGCTCACTCCTCACTATGGAGAGGTAGGCGGTCTCGCTACGCCCAAAAATCTCAAAGAATAACCGACTCAGAAAATCATTATCCATCGTAAGGCCTCTCAAGGATATTTTCCATCAAATTTTCCCAGATTCCATATCATGGTACCATTGGGCTAGCATGTGAGATGTCTTGCACCATCTCCATACCGTTGTCTCAGGCCTTCCTACCCAGAGCACAACGTGATGATGAGAAACCTTCTCGCAGCCCAGGTTTCTGGCTTGGCGTTACTACTAGCCCTATGCTCGAATTCCTACGCTATCGTTTAACAATTAGTCGTCACTAACGCAATGTATGCTGCGGGTGTTTTTGTAGCAAATGTATATTTAGCTAGTCGAAGTGTGTAAGCAAGTAGTTAACTAAAAAAGACCTCCGCCGCCATCTCCCGCCAAACCGGTCACCCCTTTTGTTGGTTTTTTGTTCGTCCTCCTAAAACTCGTCACCAAAGAACTACTTTTTGCAGTCTTTCCATCAAATGTACCACATAGTACCTCTGATAAAATCTCTCTGCCGCATCTCGCCATCGGCAGGAGGCTTGTCGCCTTCTGGTTTACCTCCAAGCTGGAGCAAAGGAGGCGCGTCTATGCCTCGTGAAGGACCTTCCATAGTCTGCCCCATTGCAACTTGATCACGGATCATTTCGTGGCCCTTTGCACCAGCCCTAAATCCTTCACTACTGGCAACGTTTTCGTGTGCTCGTGCTCGAGCACAAGCCAAATGCGCGTAGTAAACGGCAGGATGGAGGGAAACCGGTGTGGTTGAGCGGGCGTAGGAATAGCATTGATGATAAATCATCTTTTGCAAGTCATTGACCGGAATTCCCATTTCGTCTAGGATGACATGATAATGTACTGGCCGTGCGGTACCTTGGATGGCCACGTGCGAACACATGTAAAAATCCCACATGAAGGGGTGAGTTACCTCTCTTTCGACGAGAGTGCCAGGCAGGGCATTGGCATTTCTATCTCCCTTCTGTGGATAAAAGCGAATGTGATGTCTTTTCGTGGCGACAATCACCGTGAACTTGGGGAGCTGCGCGTTTGGTGCCTTCTCTCGGAGATAAGTCTTGATTTCCCGAATTTCTTGGTCCAAGACTTGAGCAAATTGTCCCTCTGCCACACCATCTCGAAAGTAAATGATGTGCTTGGGAAAGGCGCCCTCATGACCAGCCATCCAATACTTGGCCAACTGTCCAAACATAACATGGATATTGGCAGCCGTAAGCATCTCCACACGGTATCCGTTGGATTCCACCACAGCAGCATACCTATTGGCGTCTCGATCAATAGACATGGTCATGGCGCCAGTAGATGGCGAGCCACCTCCAGGAGCCCCATGAGAGATGTCAACGCCAATAATCATCGTCGGGCGATCCTTGGGGAAGTAAGTCGGCGAGCTTTTCCATGGAGGAAGTGTGCGAGAGGTAGCCCCCCCAAGCTTGGCATTGACCTTCATGCACACATTAGAATGGTACTGCCCATTATTGTTGGCAACGGCCGAGCCATTGACAACCTGAGAAAGAATGCCGAATCGACAATCTGCAGACTTCTTCAGCCGCTCATAATGCGGGCTGTTCTTGTGCTGAACAACGACGAAGAGCAGCTGTGTATATCCCCTCTGGAGACAGATTTGCTTATGGGCCCAGGCAATGGCTTGAGCAACATCGTTCTTGACGTCTCCTGGCACGTTCAACAGGAGGGCATCTGCTGGGCATTTACCCCCATGCGCAAGAAATGCGTTGCGGAATGTCTTCGCAAAGTTTTGCAACTGCGGGTACCCAACACAAGCATCCATAACGATAAACGCCCAATTCTGCAACGGCGCAACGTTCTGTTTCCAGAACTTCTTACCGCGAAGATCCCAGCGACCAGCAAACTTGGGGTCTGCATTTCCCTGGCCAAAGTTGACTTGAGGAGGAGGTAGAATCCGAGCATCGGTCTTGGTGAATGTAGGCTCGAATTCAACTCCATACATTTTCAAGTATGGATCTGCTGAGAGCTGAAGGCCCTTGTAATTGTTCTCAGTGTCAGCCCGACGTTGCTGAGGCCTTGTGACTGCAATTTTGATCATGGCAGCCGTTTGGTCTGGCGTCAGCTTGAAGGCGTAACGCTGCATGGGCTCGATGATGGCAAACTCCATAGGAATAAACCCCCCCTTTCCAGCAAAGATAAGAGGCAAACTGGGGTTCTTCAGATGTACCTTATACTTTTGCTTGTAATAGTCGGCAACAGAAATCTGAGTTCCATTGCATTCAAAGGTGACAGTTCTGGCCGTGGCGCCTTCGCCTCCATACTTTTCATCAAAAGCAAAGTCCATGATGGTATACACTTTGTCACTTGCGGGTCGATTGGCGTGTGCGACAGTAAATTTGAGCTTTCTCAGTTTTCGCAAATGCTTGAATGCATCCGATGACTGATATCTACCCTCATTATTTCGCACAGGTCGAAGCACTTGACCAATAGTCGAAGAATTGAGGCCTCTCCATTTGCGATCGCACAAAGCGAGGAAGTTACACATAAGTTGGTCGACAGGCTGTGGCCCAGTCCAGAAGACAGTGTTGGCAACATCAACGTTTAGAGCCAGGCCGGTTCCGCCACGAGTAATGTTGTGGCTCATGCGAATAGATGCGTAAGTCCCTTTGTGAACTTCCAGTACGTTACCGTCCAAAAGAGGTCGACCACTTCCCGAGGCACTGTAGAAGTTTCTTTTGATAGCCGTCATGTGTTGTGATGGCCATTGACGCAGGAGATGGTCCATAAAGTTGAGGGCCACCTGGACATTGGTGTTGAACTGAATCTTACGATCCAAATAGCCTTGAATCGCACCAATATGGACTTCGGTTGTGGCCCGAAGGGTCACATGAAATCGGGCACCTTCTCGGGCCTGCGTACCTGGTGGCCGTTTGCCCTCGTCCAGGTCGACAGTGAAGCGAAGCTCACCACGATCAACCTTGCCTGGAGCCCAAGCGAGTTTGCGACCATCAAAGATCCACATGTTGTATTGGTACTTTTGCAATGCAGCCTTCGTAGCTGTGTTTGTCCAAATCTTTTTCATCAAGACAGACTTTCTTTCATTGTCTGGGGAAATAATCACCTATGCGCTGTTTAGCTGCCATTTTTCAGATAGAAAAGATAAACAGTTTGACATCTTACATCGTATTGATAGATCTTTTTCCCGAAATCGAACTTTTTCATTCGATATTGGTTAACTTCAACCACGGCATTGCTACCTTCTGTGTTGAATTTGTTTCCTCTCAAAGCGAATAGGTCCTTCTGCCCTTCGGTCACGTAAGCATCCGGAGGGAGCTCCATCCTCGTGTTCCCCTTATCAGGCTGCGTAGCTGGTTTGGCGGGATCGTAGCCAGGGCCAGAGACCCATCCAGCAGCTGCCTGACCCGATCGCGAAGGCGAGCCGGTTCGACTCCCTGGAGCAGAACCTTGAGGAGCCCTGGAAGGGAGGCGAGAGCCAGACGAGCCCTGGCCGGAGGGGCCTGGAGATCGGCCACGATCAGACATGATGGTGACGCTATAGAATGTTAGCTTACTGAAACAAAGCAATGGAAGCAAATCACAATATCGTCAGGGAATGTAGATGTATCCACATCCCGGAAGACTCTATAGAGAGCCGAATACCTTGAATGCTGATAGGAAGAGATGGTGAATGGAGTGAACTTACTTGGCCTACCAATTCAAAATGAAGAGGAACCAATAAATGAGATTCGCGCGAAACTATGCCAAGCAGTCTGCTGGAACCAACGAAGTCAGCTCAACGATTTCTGGAGCAGTGAACGAAAGCAGCGATAGGGAACACTGATGTAGGTTTGAACCCAGCCTGCAAAATGAAGACTGGGCAGTCAAAACTTGGCAAAGGCCGTATTTGTTTTATCCTGCCTTCTTCTTGGCTGAGATGAAAGGCCCGTATCTTAACAGAATCTCCACGAAGTGTAGCGTTCAAACAACGAGAAACAACAGGA